ACTCCTGGGGGAATTCTGCGCATCTGCGGACGCGCAAAATTCATCAGTCTCGCATAATTTTGTATTTTCCAGCATAAAAAACATTCTGCCTAAGAAGTGCTGCAGTTCCACCTTTTACCCACCAGAGGCCGCTGTGGTGCCAGAACAGCCGGCTGCGTTCATGCCGGCTGTTCTAGCGCCACAGCGGCCTCTGGTGGGGAAAAAGGCAAAACTGCAGCACTTCTTAGGCAGAATGGTTTTTATGCAGAAAAATACAAAACTCTATGCTCAGTGCTGCAGAATTCCCCCCAGAATAGAGTTCATCACAGCACCTGCCCGTGGAGCCAGGTTAGACAGAGTGGGGCACACAGGGCTGCTGTGGGGGGGGGGTCACAGATTCGGGTCCAGAATGGCTAGTGGGGGGACCGCGTTGAGCCTAGGGATGCGGGAGGGGCGTGGGGATGAGGGGTGCGGGGACAGGGGCAGACGTGCCTGACTGAATGGGAGAGGCTTTGGGTCAGCCAGGGTCTGCATGGGGGAGGCTTCCCAACACCCTAACAATCCCCCCCCCAGAGAAAAAATCTCCAACCCACACTTCACACTCCAGGGTCATTCCTAGGCTCCTTCCTTTTCCCTCAGCTCCTCCGTAATCCCTGACTCCTCCAAGCCTTTCCACTGCTTCTGACAGGTCCAAGAAATCCGGTTCTGTAGTGTAATTTAAACGAATTACACAATGTTCTGTATTAATAGGCCTAGTAAGGAATCTATTTGTCAATAAAAAATTACCAGAATTTTTTTTTTTTGGTCTGTATTGTTACAGACATACTTGCTGACAGATATTTTGAAACAGATTACCAAAATAATTGTAACTGGCCTGATTATATTGTGTTATTTTGACAAATAAAATATGCAGAATTTTGCAGAATTTTCAAATGTTGTGTGCAGAATTTTTAATTTTTTGCTGCAGAATTTTTAATTTTGGGGCGCAGAATTCCCCCAGGAGTAATCTTAGCTCCCCTTTGACAACAACAAAAACACTCCCTGCTTTGCTTGGCCTCTGCCCAGGGCACAGTGGCCTAGGATTAGGTTAGTTCGGCAAGTCTGGACGGAAGCTTATTCCCAAACTTCTATGCAGATTATGAATCCTGCCTCATGGCTCAATTGATTTCCCCCTCCTACCCAGGCAAGACCTTAGTCAATGCGATCAATCCAATTGCTTGTAGTAGTTGCTGTGGCCCCTACAGGTCCCCTTGGCAGGGCTTTTGGACAGTGGATTTGCATGGTTTGCAAACCTACTGGCCATGTACTGGTTGCAGCCATAGAGAGAGTTGCCAGAAAGCCATTCTGTGCAGCACATAGAGACCTGCCCCCCACTCCGTCCAGTGTAGCAGAATTGCACCTGTATCATTACATTTTGGACTTTGCTTACAGGTATTGGAGGGGGTGGCAGGATGTAGCCCGATGCCTGTCCAGATTATTTCCAAGAATGTGTGTTCTGCAGTGTTACTGTTGCCCGGGTTGGATCACGTGTTCGATCACTTCATATTATCTCTAAGTCTCTGGCCCTAGCCCATGGAGTGGTGCTTGGCTGCTTAAGAGCTGGAGCTGAGGGGAGTGCTGCTCACAGCGTTTTGTGATCCCAGCAGGAAGAAGACCGCTACAAACTGATGCTGAGCAGGAGTGACAGTGAGAATATTGCCAGTAACTATTTCCGGTCCAAGCGAGCCAGCCAGATCCTCAGTGCTGATCCTATGAAGAGTCTTGGTAAATATCCCAAAACTCTCCTTTCCTTTCCTCTGTGTGCCGGTATCTCTTCCAATGAGGGTTCCATTCCTGGCAGGTTAGTCTGGAGGGATTTGTTGTTCCCCAGTCAAATAGCCTCTTTACTGGACAGTGCAACTCATTCCTTTATTGGTGGTGACAGCCATTTTCCCCTCTGACAATGGTTCCCTAGAGTTGCTCTAGCAGACCAGATGTTGATAAACCTCCCTGTAGTGATTTGAATGATTTGCTTCCAGTGCTTGTAGCTTGGAGGTAATTCACGTTCAGCATGTCACCCTGACCAACACGTGCTGTCTTTTCTCCCTCCATAGGGTTGCCACTCACCCCAATTTTTCAGGGAATAAAGCACCAGGGGCTGGATGTTCTGCAGAAGCCTGTGTGTCATTCAGTGGTGCTGGTGATTCCTTTTTAAATTTGCCATGGACTTAGTCCTTGGTGACAAGTGCCCTTGCTGTGTCTGACTCCATTTGTTTTAGGGATAGCTAAGCTTTGTAAATGTACAGCATGGGCCCATCTGTGCATTCAAGGGGAGTCTCTTGCCGATCAGGCCCTCTGTTTTTTGGTTTTGGTTGTTTTTTTTTCAATTAATTTTGGAACAATGGACTGAACTGCAGAGCTCTGCGGTCATTTCTGAACCAGCACACAGAAATAAATGCAGCTGTGGTTAAACCGATACAGAGTCTTCAGGTCACTGGTTCCAAAGTAGACTAGATAGGTCTAACAAAAGATAACCACCCTGTGGTAGCCTGAGTGAAACAGATTTTTGTGGGGTTTCAGTCCAATTCCTGGTGAAGAGCTGTCTGCATAATAAAACCCACCACCACAGTTGGTGCTGATTGGCATCCTTGCTAGCAGAGACTGGATGGACTACACACACTCCCATCTTACCGTCAGAAATGTCCCGTGAGCACAGGATTGAGGCACATTGATGAGGGAGCATGGAGAAATGTATCCAGTTACTTCCTCTTCTGTGAATGAAACCTGTCACCCCTAGTCTCAGGTGCCTGTCACGCTGCCAGCTGGGCCCTTCAATTACAGAGAATAAGCAGAAAGCCAGAACAAAACAGAGACATAATCAGCAATTCAACCAACTAAATGAGCTTTGCATTGTGCCATGGAAGTCATTAAACTCTGGCTGTGATGCACTTTCAGGGGGATGTGGGCATGAAATCTCAAATGTGGAGGCGGTCCGCTGAGAAAGCTCTGCCACTAGGCATGGGGTGTTTCACTCTCCAGGACTGTCAGTTATTAGTATCTGACTAGATACATTGCATATTCAAGTATCAGAGGGGTAGCCGTGTTAGTCTGAATCTGTAAAAAGTAACAGAGGGTCCTGTGGCACCTTTAAGACTAACAGAAGTATTGGGAGCATAAGCTTTCGTGGGTAAGAACCTCATTTGCATCTGAAGAAGTGAAGTTCTTACCCACGAAAGCTTATGCTCCCAATACTTCTGTTAGTCTTAAAGGTGCCACAGGACCCTCTGTTACTTATTGCATATTCAGAAAACCAACCAGTGAAATGGTCAACTCCAGTCTGGAAGTTCCTTAATATGAGTAAATTAAATGCAAAAATCTCTAAATTTCCTGACTGCCTTCAATAAAATTAACAGATAAGGTTTTAATGCAGCTGGGAACTTGGAAAAGCATTGCTGAGTCTTAACAGACCAAACATGTCGGTATGTCCTGTTCCTTTACTCTACAGCCCATCATAACTCCCCTCCTGTGCTGAGCGCCCCCCTGAACAACAACACCTCCAGCATGGCACCAGTGTCTCCTTCACAGACTGTGGAGATGCCCCAGCCACGTCCTTTCCGCCTTGAGTCGCTTGACTTCACCACACCGTCCTCCAAAACAAAGCGCAAGAAGGGCAAAAACAGCTTCAGCAGCGACCCCTTCTGAGTGAAGTGGCCTCAGGTGAATACGGATCATTCTGATTGTACTGACCTTCATGGACTCCAGTCCCCTGTGGCCCCTGTCTGCTCAGATTGCAGCAACCTACCTTGGCAGTTACCCTCTTAACGATGTAGCATTTGGCGGCAGCAATCCTCTTATCACAGCGGCTTTTGGAAGGGACAGTTTGACTTTCCTTTGAGTTTAGGGTCAGTGGAGACAAATGCTGCTTCCAGGGGTTTTGAAGTCTGTAATGACAACTCCAGGTTCAAGCTGGGGCTGGCACATTCCTCCGTTACCTGTTTCCCTGCCACATGTGTGCAGCCAGCACTATATATTTAGTCTTCCATTCTGGTCACTGCCATGCCCAGCAGGTGGTGGGAAGTCAAACCTCTGTACTTGGACTAAAATCTTTAGGTGATGTGAGGAAATTCCTCAAAAAAAGCCTTAAAATCACTTTCCGTATTTCCCAATGCAAGTTTCCTAGACAGCGCTTACTTATTTCCTTTTGGATGTCACAGCCACAACTTGAGCTCATGCCCCATACAGAATTCTCCAGTCTTATTCCTCATTGCAATAAGACAGTGAGAGGTTCTGGCAGTATCACAACCATATCACAGCCATTTCTGCTTTTTCTTCTCTTGAGAGAGTCTGAAACTGACATCATTTCTGAGACACAAACTCAGTTCTCCAAGGAAATAGAGTTTGCACATTTATTCCCTGACTCCTCTAGATCAGATCAGAAACTGCAGTTCAGTGAGACAGTGGAAATGATTGCTCCTGTCCTTGTGTTCAAGATGTTAGTTTTGTACACTTTGTATGTTGACTGTTTATATTTTAGTCATTTATCTTATGTGCAGGACATCTGGTTAATGATCATAATACATTGCCTTTTAATGACAAACTCAGTCTGATTGCTGTTATCTTTACAGTTCGTGTTCCTTTGCATTTTTGCCAGATGTTGCATACATTGGCTACTGTCCCTGTAGTTGCAAAGCACTGGGTCAGGAGTGTCTTGCCCATCAGTTTTTGCTTCATAATCAGCAAAAGACACTGCCTATCCTAGCTGTCCTAGACAGTGAGACCTAGATGGCAGGGCATAGCTCGGCGAAGAGGAAAGGAACACATGCTGCAGCGTGGGTACGAGCAGTGGCAGGGGAAGTAAGCCCCTGGTGTTGGCAGCTAGAGCACAGTTTACAGTCCTGTTAGGACAGTACCAGTGTTGCCTACTCTCATGATTTTATTGCAAATCTTGCAATATCTGGTGCTTTCCATAAAGCTCCTGGAGTCATGTGATTACATGGGACTCTCAGCTTTATTTTAACAAGTAAGATTCTAACCTTCACAGTGGCAGCAGTATTGCTAAACCCAGATGTTCAAAAATCATGAGGTTGGCTTTCATAGCAGGAGATTATGTAAAAATAATATATTGTTTTCTTTTTATCGGCTTTCTGCTTTTTGAACCTTTAGGGTCCACTGGGGTCACATTATGACGCTTTCTCCACAGCCATGAGGAATAGAAACTTACTTTTAAGAATGAAGGCTGAAATCGTCACATAGCCACTTGACTCCAGGAGCTGGGGCTTTAAGGAAAACAGTCATTATCATGAGACTTGTGTCAAAATCAGGAGAGTTGGCAACAGCGACAGTAAAGGATTCCTGAAGGGCAGGGGCTGCAGAAGACAGAGACCCAAAGTTGTTGTTTTTTTTAAATCTCTTGCTTGGCATGCTTGGGCGTGGCTACTGCAGTAAGCCTGGGGCAGGAAGACAACCAGCCAAGGAGTGAGAGGAGGAGGAGGTGCAGAACCCGGGTGCAGATGCAGCCCGGCCTGGGCTGGGACCGCTGCTACCCCGTTGATGGGCCGCAGGGGGCGCTGGCTCGGAGGCGGTTTTAGCGCGCATGGGCGGGGCTCAGGGCGCCCTCTGAGGAAGGGCTGCCGGGCGGGGCCCGCTGTGTGGAGTTGTCTGTCTCTGATTGGGCCCCGCTGTCGAGGAGGCGGGCCTTCGGAGCTACTCCTCGGGCCCCGAGAGGAAGGGGTATGTGGGCCGGGTACCCGATCGCTTCCGGGTCACCGCTTGAGT